GTTACGTCATAATACCCCGGAAGGAGGAAAAAAAAAAAAAAAAAAAAAAAAAGGAGGAAACAAAAGCCCCACACCTGCGGGAATTCTCTATGCGTAGGCCTCTTTGTGTGTACGTGTGTATACCACAAACCTCAAACCAAAAAAAAAAAAAAAGAAAAAAAATATTTGTTCTTAAATACGGGCTTAGCTGTCAAAATAATTTCTCTCCTTTCTCCCACACACACCCCGTATACCTCCCGACTCTATCGTCGCCGTCCATGCCAAGACACCCACCATTCCATTCCATTCCATTCCTTCTGCCCTTTCAATTATGATCTATTTATTTCTTCTTTTCTTTTTTTCTTTCTTGCGTGCCTCTTCGCTCGACCTCATACCCTCTTCTACTCCGTCAGCCGCACAGAACGTGCATACGTGTGTGACAGACGAACTGAAGGCCCATTCGTGACGAAACGAGAAGCGGAGCCAAAACAAAAAGGAGACGGAGGGGTCAAAATGGCATAACAACAACACGTGGGAATCATACGGAATGCCCTCTTGCCCATGAGCAATTTTCCACGTGCGTGCATCGCAAAAGGCAAATGGGGAAAAAAAAAAAAAAAAAAAACGAAACACAACAGTAAAAAAAAAAAAAAGGATGGAAGCATAAGATACATGTCAATATGGGTAAATTGATGCCAGGCAGCGCGCCCCGGACGACAAGAAGGCAGCACCACCTTCTCCATTCGCATCACCCCAGTTCTCCCTTTGCCTCCTTCTTTGCGCTTTTCTAATCATTGGCGGCGTCCCAGTTACGCCTTTCATTGTTTCTTGTATCCCTTCGCCCCTGTCTTGCCCTTCATTGATGCCTTGCGCTTCGGAGTTGTCTTGTGCTTCAAAGCCGCCTTGCGCTTTGGGGCCGTCTTACTTTTCAAGGCCGCCTTACGTTTCAAAGCTGCCTTACGTTTCAAAGCTGCCTTACGTTTCAAAGCTGCCTTACGTTTCAAAGCTGCCTTGCGTTTCAAAGCTGCCTTACGTTTGAGAGCTGCCTTAAGTTTCAAAATTGCTTTACGTTTCAAGGCCGCCTTACGTTTGGCAGCCGCCAGTCTCTTTTGCTTCAGTTTCTTCGCCTGCATCTTCTTTTGCTTCAGTTCACGCCACATCCTCCCAATGACGCGTTGGCGCTGCGGATTGCTGAGGTGCGTGAAGCGAAAAGCCTGCTGCCGCTGAAAGCGATTAAAGGAATCGAGAGCGGGGTACCTCTTCTTTACGGCACGCGCCTTCAGTGCACTCAACTTCTCGGGAGGGAGGGCGCGGTACATACGGGAGCCGATAGCTGAGCAATCCTTCAATGGCAGCCCCGACAGCTCTCTTTTCCTCGCCAATTCCTGCAGAAATATGGAGTAGGGGCTGACACGCAGCGCCGTCATCGTGCGTCGAAGCATTTTTTTTATTGCTGTTGGCTCTTCACTCCCCGTTGATGGATGGATGAAAAAAATAACGGCTGAAATTCAGCAGTGCGATCTGTGAAGAACAAACGTCAGTTCAAAATACACAAGAAAAAAAAAAAAGAGTAATAATAAAGAAAAGCATGCATCAAAAGAAGGCCTCGTGGGTCAGCAGACACAACAGAGAACAGGAAAAAAAAAGAAACGCGCAGGCAACGGCCGTGATGCATCAAAAAGAAACTGCAGCACCCCACAACTTCTATTCGCCAAGGCCAGGCTATTTACATCCCCTTACTGCGCCAGATCAATGAGTGCGGAAAGAGAAATGGACGGTGCATTTTCACTTCTTCCGCTTCTTCTTGTCCATCCTGCGCTTGATCTCCGGCACAACATCCGTTGGAGGCTTCGGTAACTCCATGCGGGCAATCTTTGGCGCCTCGCGAGAAAGAGCCCTTGAGTGCAGCAACTCGGATTGAATAGAGATGAGATGCGACAACACCTCACACTGTGGAGTGCTCAATAGTCCACCCATGCAGAGGAATCGAGCCTCCATGGCAACCGAAAGATGCGCCATCGTGGCTGCATTTCCTACTAACTCCGGCGCCACAAAACTCACGCAACGCCCTTCAAATTCCTTTACACGCCGCACAATCTCATGCACGTCGGACAACGTCCCTATAGCGCCCGGATCCAGAACAAAGTTCGACGTCCATAGACCGCGAATCCCATGCTCCACTTTTTTGTACTGACTTCGAGCATAAATATCACGGCCGGAGACGTGAAGTAAATCACCCAAATGCGCCTGCAGACGTTGCAGGCCAAAGGTATCCCTGTCGCAGTGCGTGTCCTCCACGTAAACCACAAAGTCCGTGCAATTTTGCAGCTGTTCTCGCAGGTACTCGGATACCTGCGCCCCTGAAACATCCGCATCACCTGGGAAAAGTGCATACATCACTTCTGTCGTATCCTTACTTTCTTTCCAAGCGGCCGCACTCGGCACTGCTGTCGCTGCCAAAGACGGGGAAGCAACCGCAGCGGCAAACCTCAAGCCGATGCAAATATCTTTCACGGGGGTGAGACCCACCGCACGTACCGCCTCCTCGGCCAAACCCAAAGCATCCGTCACGTTCTCAAAGTCGTCGTATGCAAGAGAACCGTCAGAACGCATCATTGTGTTATGCGCCCGGCAAAAATGATGAAACGCGGCAAAAATCTTTTGAATAATCTCATTCGGAATGGAGCCCTCAGGCATGGCTGGGATAAGAAGAACATCCTTCAGTGCCAGCCGGGCCGTCGATGGGTTTCCAGGGCCAAAAAAACTTATGCACAGCTGAGGCATAGTAAAAGCCTCGTCCCCACCCAATGATGGAAAAAGCTGTCGTAAATACATAAACAATGGAATGGAGGAACACCGAGCAGCTGCGGATGCCACCACAGTACTCAAGCCGTACATCACACTCACCCCAACGTCGACCGCCTCGGCAGAAGAAGAAATTTGGCGAAGCGTCGTGTCAAATCCCTTTTGGTCACGTGCACCAAACTGAAGGAGACGAGGAAAATAACTCTTTTGAAGTGCCTCCGTGGTGTAAGTGGTGGGGTCGGTGGTTTCATCCGCACCCGCGTCGTACTCGCCGTGTGAGGGCTGCACAAACGCCGCGGACTCCGTCTCCATCCCATTCAAGAGCTGCAGCGTCAGTCGAAGCACAACTGTCCCACTGGGAAGATACACGGCGCGTGTGACGATGCCTCGTATCTCATCGCCCGAGCACTTTTCGGTAAAGTACGCGGCAAGATACTCCTCTGGCCGCGCCGTGTGCGCATCGACGCAGGAGCGTGCAGCTTCCGTAAGGATTTGGGAGAGCTTGTACTTGTCGTCGTACCTCTTCCACGAAAGGAGTTCCATCGCCGCTTCTTGGAAGCGCACGCACCAGAAATACAAAGAAGCTCAGAAAACAAGACAGCCACAAAAACACAAATGAAAAAATAACGATGATGACGGTAGAAAAAAAAAAAGAAAAAAAGAACATTAAAAGCAAAAGGGAATGGTGAATATCACATCAAAAAAGAGGACGCCCAGTCGAACTTCTCGCACACGCCGTCAATGCCCGCGTCTCCCTCCGTCCTCATCGCCACATGTACCACACGCGCAGACACACAATCAAACCCAACACAAAGACACCGAAGAATTAAAATATATATATATATATAATAATGAATGTTTACAAAACAAAAAACACTCAGTGCCCTCGTAGTCAAAATAGCAGCCGCCTCTGCAACTCGCATGTAAATCGAGAACGCCGCACCTCGTTTGCGTGAAATAGTGTGTTCATATGAACAACAGTATTCGTGAGCAGG